AAGCCCCATTCCCGGTAAAATTTCGTTAAGAAAAATCTAATTTTTGTATAATGTTATAAAGGTTTATAAATATAATACGGAATTGCTAGTTTAACTGAATTTAGACATTCTCATATAAGCATGAAAAAAATGTAAAATAAGACTGAAATTTGCGGATGAAAATGCGGATGAATTTTTCATGTTTGATTTTGTGACAGGTCTGCGAAGAAATATAGTAGGCGCCGAAAACATTAGCCTATCCAACACTGCTAGGCTAGGCCTAACCTTACCTCGATTTAGGTTCTGTTATCTCACATAAAAACGACCGACATGATATTTTCCGCTAGTATTGACACTTGTGAAATATAATATTTCATAGAAATTATTTCAAATTTGTTAAAAAACTGATTCTGACCGAGATTTTGACACTTAAACAAACATATTTCAGGCCTACTCGAACGACCGCATTGTGCGAGATGCGACGTACAAAAACAAATCCCATTAGAGAGGGCACACTTTATTGAGTGTATAAAGTACAGTATACATAAAAGCGAGAGTATTCCAGCGGATGCGATCTACAACCACTGAATTTGCCTAGTAACGAAAATGGTAATATTCTATGAGAAATGGTCTGTATTTCTCTTTTTTTGTTTTATTCTTTTGCGTACAACTAAAATTTATGCCAATATTTTTCCATTGTTTATAATAATTAGAGTAATGTATATGCATCTTTTCTATAAAAAAAAAATAAATCTGTTTTTAGTGAAATTTTGCCTAGAATGGGACTTTAAGGGGACACTTTTTTTGGTCCCGAAAAGGTGTCCCGAAGGGGCGCGCTACTGTGCCTCGAAACCGTAGAGTTTATACCTTTACGCGACGACTTACCGTATTTTATAAGAGGGCGTACCACATGCGTCTTAGGTCTTTCGTACTTAGGCCTACGCTTCTAGCTTTAGTTTTCTGCCCGGCCATAGGCCTACAGAGGATGAAATCAGTTGCTACCAATCAAACATATATTAAAAATAGATTTTAATTTTAAAATTATTTATTATGATTTCCCAGCTTCCATCAACTATATAAAACCTAGCCTATAGCGTACAATTTAGCTTTTGCTTAAGTAGCCATCGTTTCCCAAAGTGAAATTTCCAATATTTTGTATTTTAAATTTACTAGATACGTAACGCTTATAAAGTAAAAATAATAATAATTAAAAAAAAACCCGAAATAAATAACACGACTAATTAACATGAAGGCACTTTCATACAGCTTATGAACAACGTTATTTTAATTAAGGGCAATACGGTATACAGACTCATACAGAAAGTATAACAACTCAATTATGACGATAGTTTCCGTAATTATGTATAGGATTAATTCATACATTGATTAATTATGGGTTGAGTAATCTTTTGTACAAATTTTTATACCATAGGCAAACATATGTTTACAGGCGAACAGAAATTTTACTCTAGGTGGCGCTATTACAGATTTTTGTTATATCACAACCGGAACAATTCAGTTAGAAAGTCATGGAACATGAAAGAAAACGATAATAATAAGATTGATAACATAGGCCTACTTTTTTTTCACGAAGACAATTGAATCCCCTAAGAATGTTTTTTATCAGGGCTGTGCAAGGCTATACATAATTAAAAGAGAAATTGATGAAAACACGAGGCTTAAAACAAAACAAAAGACGCCACACAACACCTTTGGCAGCAAACTAGGCCTATCCACCACAGTCATCAGCAAATTACAGTAGGCCTAATGTAACAATTAGCCTATCAGTATTAAATATTTTCATATTAAATAGGCTTTTCATACATGATTTGCTTAACACACAATATAACATAACATTATAATTAATCACATGGTTTGGTATGAAGAAACTGTATGGTCTATGGTATAGGGAACGTGTAGGTATTTATTCTAATACGGTACTCCCTGCTATAAACGCCCCCGGGCCCCTCAAATAAACGCTCCCTCCAGCGCCTCATTTATACGCCTCCCTCGAATAAACGGCGCCCTGACCGTTTATGTTTTCCTCGAATCAAGTTTCAAGTTTAATTTATCAGTAAAAAATAGCCTCCGGTCAATTTCACATAATAAAATTAATATAATTATCAGAATACAGTCTTTTTGTTTTTCAAATGATCTTTCTAAATAAATTGTAAGTAGGCCTACTCAATTTGATCAATTTTCTATTAACAAATATTTCTCAAAGAATGTTTGTATATATTACTTTCTAATGTTTTTTTTTTCATATAAAATAGACAGACAAAAAGGAAATTAATTTCATCTCCTAAATTTATAGATTCGCAAACTAAACAACTTCTGTTTTCCATGTCAATGTCTCGTCCCTTTTCAATCAACAAATATAGCAAAATGCTAACGCGTGAAATTATTGTTTTTTACCTCAGATTTAAATTATAAACATAAGTTTCACATATATTTTCGGGTTTAATAATAGCCTACTTATTATTATAAAACTGAAGTCGTGTATTATTTCTTATTATTTCTTTTCCTTTTTCATATGCTACCGTACAGTTGCCATACATCTAAAATTCTTTGTGAAATAGGTAAAATGCTATCTTCAACTATTTCCATAACCAAAACCAAAATTATATATATTTTCTTTTATTTCAAATGCCTAAAATGTATGCCCTTTTCTGCCCAATATCTTTATCTTTGAGAGCAAATACATGCTATAATTTTCCATTTTGTTATTTTATCCAGCAATTAGGCATAATCATTCTTAAAATTTGACAAAACTTCATGGATACCCAACTCATCTTACGCCTTTATTTGAACATGGTTTTTGAACATTCAAAACAAATTTACAATGTCTTATATGTAAATTTTCTATATACTTGCAGTCTTTGAATCCCAAAGGTTCAGACCCATACAGTAAATCTAGTACTGGAATAACTTGTCTTTCAAAAAGTTGTAATTGAATTTCTGCAGATGTAAACCACATGATTTGACATTTTATTTCTTATGTTATATTAAACAATCACAGTTCTCCTTTTCTGGCTGCCGTTTTTACATAATGCTCCAATTTCCATATAATTACATAAATTAGGCCTATTTGTATTCTTTAACGATTCTGTCCAACCCCATCGATATTCATCGCCTCTCCCTAAACGCCTCCTACTCTCTAAGCCGCAACGAGTACGTGAAAGCATTGAAAGAGTGCCTACAGGGACCACTCCGGAGTGAAATAGAAAGATTGAGATTTCACTCTATTCAGAGTGAATTTTAGTACTTTTTCACTTTTTAAAGAATAATATTCATTCATTTAAGAGTGAATTTTCACTCGAGAAAGAGAGAAATTGGAGTGGTCCCTGTAGGCACTTTTCGAGTGAAAATTCACTCGTTTACATAAGAGAGTAATTGAATTTAAACAAAAATAATGGAGGCAACATCATTCTCAACTGTTGCTTACAATTAATGTTCAATATGTCTTTATGATCACGCAACAACACATTTTGACGGTATTATGTGTTGTAGTTGTAGAATTTGAGTATAGGCCCTATAGGGCCTATGTATCCATTACACCATAACGCCCCCTCAAAAAACCTTTAAACGTCTCTGGGTTATTCGAATAAATAGGGTATATAACAATGTTCATAATAAGGGGGAAAAATAAAAACAGGCCTTTCAATCATCATTGTTTTAGAAACTTTTCCTTCACGTTATAAAACCCAGTATAAAACATGGAACAAAAATAGATTCCTCTCAGAATTCTTACCCTTATTATAAAATGTATTACTTTACCGGTAATGTAGCCTATAGCCTAATAGGCCTATCATCGATCTTGAAAAATAAAAAAATCTGACTTTTACTTTATTGTAGCATTACAACCTATGTACTTCAGTAAAATGCTATTAATACTTAGGCCTATATTAAATTGAATTAATGAAGTGATAATAAAATAAATAGGCATACAAATGCGCTTATGTGCACTTATTATTCGGAGGAAGTCATGCTTAGGCTGGCCTCTGTTTATTCAACAAACATTGTTTATCTCGTCATTAACAGAGTAATCACACTTTGGAAACAAAATAATCGTTCGTATGAATGTGTTTGAGATCAAAAAATAAGGCCTGTAACAACCCCGATACTGTAGTAACAAAGAATCGTGTAAAATCGGAAAACCTCCCAGACAGTTTGATCCGCTTGCAATTCGTTCAACAACAAAGAATTGATTCTTCAACAACCGGATCTCATCCATTCTCTTATCCGGAAGTACAGTTAACGCCTGCAAGGAGACCACGACCCACAATGCAAATGAAATACATGCCCTATTATTATGAGAAGGGAGTAGGCTTTCGAAATATTCTAGGGAATTTATTTCAAATTTTATACCAGTTTCATGTATTTTTACTAAATCCAGAACTATGACAAATACATGGGGAACAGAACTGTGGGTATGTATACACATTTTCATCTTACTGTTTGCAGAGACGTTGATTAGAAACCATTATCCTTTCGTACGCTGTAGCAGAAACGGCAAAGCATAGGCCTAGCTAGGCCTAGCCTTGAGTATTTTACTAAAGCCTAGCAAGGCATCGCAAATACATGTCTGTTGCTAGCCTATTAAGGCCTAGGGCCTAGGCTAGTCTGAAGCTTGTCTTTTCCACTGTCCAAGCTAGGCGTGCTAAACACTATTTAGTTTTCTCGTCATTGCTTTGCAAAATTTGAATTAAGTAAGCGAATGTTTTGATAAAAATGTTAATATGGAATCAATAGAATAGAGAACTAAAAAACTCAATTTTATTATTTTAAACAGTTGAACTGGGCAACAAGAATCAGAGTGGATGGTGTCGCCTAGGCCTAGGCCCTTGGTAGACTATAAAAGAAAAAAAGGAAGAAAAGCTGCATATATAGCCTAGGCTAGTATTTTAGTGTTTATTTTGAAGTTGAACATTTTTATTCTTTCTTAATAATAATATTAACTAATAATAGGCATTGTGCGCAGTTTTTCGCATCCGCACGAATTGTTGTAAACATGTTTGTTCAATTGTAATTACAGTAGAACCCCTCATTTACGAACCCTGATTTTACGAATTCCCGATTTTACGAACGTAAAATCATGTCATTGTTGTCATAAATAAAGTTCCTATTTCATGTACAAAACACGACGTTTCAAGAATTAATCGTTAGGCGCATGCTGGAGTTTATTCACTCTTAGACACGGTTTGCTGTACAATATCAGCGATCTCTACTACAATACAAAACGCACATAGTGCCCTTTTAATACACCGACATTCAACACTGCAATCATACTTCATGTCTGCAGCCGTGAGAAAACTCCGCCCAATGCGTACAGTAAGTTGTCGGCATATCAATAGGCACATGATTTATTCAGTGGAAAATGTTCGAAAACAAACTTGTTCAAGTTTGTTTACGAACATTGTCCACTGAATAGATCATAATAGAAAAGACAAAATAATCTTTGTAATTAACCAAACTACTAAATTTATTTTAACAAATGATATTCGAATAAATTTCACACGAGAGATTACTGTGTAGCGTATAGGTATACAGTCGCATTTAGATTCGATTTCAAATTTCAATTAAAAATGGATTTTATTTGTCAAATCTCACTAACGTTAATCTGCCATTTCAATATTTTCCCCATAAAATAAGACACTAACACCTACATTTTATTTTTAACTTTATTATTCATTACATAAATGTTAATGTAGGCATACAGTACAGACACAAATTATCGGTTCGTATCTGCGCGTAACCTCTCGTAATCTGCTCGTAGGTACGTTTTGAACGTAGCTACGAACCACTACGAAGGTCATTGTTATTTTAATTAGCTTTGCAATGATCGTAGGCTGGATCGTCGGGCTGATAAACAATGCATAAACAGTATTGAAATATAGTTTACCAGCTTTCAACACGTAAGCAATGTTGCAATTACTAAATAAACAATGTTAGAACTTTATTGTTTTGTTATATCCTACCTTATTATTA